ACCTGTGTTGGTGCGAAGAACGAATATTGACTACTGCTGCACACAATGTTAGTTGCAAGAACCAACTTTTGACAACTCACACGCACAACTGTGGTGAATAACGACAATGTGTGTTTGAACGAAGAATTCTGTTGTGACATGCATGTCAGATGCATGCATCTAGCCCAAATCATTTGGTGGAGCTCACGAGTTTGTCGTCGACTCTATCAAACTGAACGTAGGTTGTGAGACCCAAGATTTTTGTTGCGACAGCTTATTTATCAGTTATCACGCGTTTGATCAATTTCTCGGTTGTGGCAAGTTTGGTTGTGATGACAAATCCATTTTTTCCGTGCAGGCACTCCGTATCGACTTGATATTGAATGTCTAGAAACAGTGGGAGCTTGGAGGAAGGTTGAACATGTACGACACATTTTGAACAGACAAAATGCAAACTGTATCGTACATGTACGAACATTTTTTTCGCAGAGGTTTAGCATCTGACCAACCCATGCGACCCTGGTGGGTGTTTAATCTCGGAACACTGAACACCGGAGCGCAGTCGTCATGGCCCTATTATTTAAAGTTGAGGAACTTCAACGGAGGCACAACCGGGGCACTTCTCGGCACTTGAGGGGCACGCCCGGGCACGCAGCGGGGAACTTTACAACAACGAACTCAGCGCTGCTGGACGGCAGTGGACTGTTGCACGGATCATAAATCATGCGCGAACAGGAAGCCGGCCTGCCTTTAGGCCTGCCGGGAGGGAAGGTCCGACGGTGCGGGGCGGGGAGGCGTAGGGGAGGCGTGAGGGCGCTACGGGGCGGGCGGGGCCCTGCGGCCTGCGGGTAGCACAGCAGCCGGCTCCACCACGCCCTGCCCCTCCCTTGCTAACCAGCGCACGGTTTGCTGACTCACGTATGGAGCTGACAAAACGACTCTTTATTTTTACGAACTCGCAAGGCGACGCATGAGAGGCGAGGCGGCCCCGCTCGGCCCCGCGCTGCGCCCCCGGCCCCTTCGCAGTCGTTGGTGGCAGGGACTTGGTGTGACTGCTGGTAATTTTGGCCGGGTTGGGCGGGGAGTCGAACCAGCGCCGGCTCCCGTCCCGCTCCTGTCGCACGAGGGCCAGAGGCGCGCCAGAGGCACGCCAGAGGCTCGTGCCGCCCAGAACAGCCGTTGAGCACGTAGAGGGCCTAGCCGCGGACCAACGACCCGCTGGCTGCGCCGGCCCGGCACAGGCCTGTGTCGCGCCGCAGAGACTGAGGCTGAGTTCCTCATGAGCGTGGCTACCCCTGCCAAGAGGACCTGTCCGCCGTGCGGAAGTGGGGCCAGAGGGAAGGGGAGGGAGGGGGAGGGGCGAACGCGAGAGATACAAAGTCGAGACTCATCCCCGCGATGTAGAGAAACGAGGAGGATTAACCAGGCGGCGTCACTGAAGTGTGTTTTTAAAATACCCTGTGAGCTGGCGGCCGCGGGGTTGAGGCGATGGTCCAGGCTGAGCAGGGCTGCAATAATGTCTGTCCCGTCGGACCGACCTAACTGCGTGACCCCGGGTGGCTCCAGTTCGCTTATGAAGTCGTTATAACCCTTGCTGAACCCTTGTTGAACCTTTGTTGAAGCTCCGGACCGCCCAGCATGAGCCGAGGGGTCCCCCATTCGCCAATTCGTTATACACTAGCCTGCGCCTAACTCGCGCCCAACTCGCGTTCGACTCGCGAAAACTCGCGCCAAAATCGCGCAAAACTCTCTAAAAATTGATCCCAACTCGCGCCCTACTCGCGGCAACTCGCCAACTCGCCAAATCATTGTACACCCATTTTGGAAGTGGGGGACCCCTCGGCACAAGCCTTGCACAACAAAAACGACGCCCTTAATGATGTCAAGACGGGTTTGGCCGTCTTTTTGAAGAAATGCATGAAGAAGTCTTAATTGTTTCTAGAACGCTATGAAAACGAGGACGTCGTTTTTACCGTGTGTGTAGCCAGAGAAAGAGGACGGCGCAGATCATCGGCAGATCACCCACCCTGAAGTTCTTGTGCATAATTCGGTATAATTACAGACAAACAAGCATTTCGTTCTAAAAAAAACAACCTAAAAAACATGACTATGTATAAAAATTATTGACAACAGTAGCACGCATACAGAAGTTGATAAGGATTTATTGTGCGTGATCCCGCGAGTACAATATAATCTGTTGGCCCACCCTTGCCCCGTGCCAACCTCATCACCCCCCTCTCACTGTTCGCCAGGCCCCCGCCTCCGATTCTTTATGAATCCTGTTTCACAAAGCAGCCGTCCGTTGTTTTTGGTGCTAAATAAACAAGCTCCCTCCCAGACTCTGCAACTACACTGTAATTTGGGTTGTCTCAAATGGCTACGCGAAAAGGCGTATGCTACAGGATCTCGAGCGACATTTGGCGTTTACTTTTGAAACATCTTTTGGCGAACAGATTCTAGACATCTTTACCCATACCATTCCCACAGCACAGCAGATGTACTGTGAAAGGCGCTCACGTCCTGTACGTACACCCTCACGCACCTGCATGCTCAAAGCTATGGGTCTGTGCCGCGGGAGTTGTATGGGCAAAGACGTCTAGAATATATACGCCAAAAGATGTATTAAAAGTCAAAAGACGCCTAATGTCCCTTGGGATCCTGTAGCATACGCCTTTTGGCGTACACATTTGAGACATCCCTTTGTAAGTAGGGTATTCCGCTGCAGGAAAACAGGAACGTACAGAGGAAAAGCATGACTGCTCAATCCGTTTCCTCCTGCGCGCTCATTGGTTGACTGACACTGACGTCATCGTCGACCAATCAGCGTTCAGGAGGGAAGAGGTTCGGCAGTCATGCTTTTCGTCTTTGGGTTCCGACTGTTTTACAGCGGAATACCCTATTACAGTGTATCGGCCCCCACCAGGCGGTCACGACACACAAGGCAACAATTATTGTGGACGCTGCGACGTACCATCCCCTCCCTTCGTATATATCGCTGTACCATAACTTGGTTAAGGTAACCAAAATATCCGGAAGACTTTCGCAATTTTAGTACAGGTCGATTTGAACCCTATCACATGGTAGCTCGTTTGAAAGCTCTTTTCAAGAGGAAACTGAAAATGTCATCGTTTTTCGAAAGTTATCCGTCTCAAAGGAAATAGTAAAAACGTGTGCATGCAATGCACACTGTAGATAACGTGTGCATGCCATGCACACTGTAAGTGTGCAATGCACACTGTAAGTGTGCAATGCACACTGTAAGTGTGCAATGCACACTGTAAGTGGTGAAGTAAGAATTGAGTCGGCTGGATTAGCCCAGGAAACCAAGGTTTTTACCCTGAAAAAATTCATATAAAGCTGTATTTTTGTACACGGATAGAGTTTCTTGTGCTGAGTAACGTAAATTTTCCGTCCGCTATCTAGACCCTGAGCTTCCTGAGATATCGGGCAAAAAGGACGTAACTGCACGGTTCTAGTTTTCGGGCTGCTGTACAATAACTATTCATCGTATCGGGTCGAACTTAGCATCAAAATGATCGGAAAGAACAGGCGAACAGATCAGCAGTTTCAGAAGTGCGAAAAAACAATTATTTATTAATGATAATTGGCTTTAAACAAAAATGCGATTTTGACCGCCTTCTTCACACTGCCATTGCGGCCAAACGAGCCGCAGGGCACTAAATTTGCCTTCAGTAAATGATGTTGCGCCATTCTTCTACTCGCCGACGCTGTTTTTAGATTCTTGATCGGACGTTCCGTTTGGGAGAAATTGTTCGAAATGTGAACAGCTGTCGTGGCGGCGCGCGGCTCCGCCGCTGCTGCGGGCCGGTGCGGGCACGGCTCGGCCGCTTCCCCCTCCACTCCGCCAGGCCGGTCGCCTCCGGACGGCGCGCAGGCCGTGCGTCGCTCTCTCTCTGCCTCCTACCCCAGCACGCGAGAGCGACGAGGACCGACTGCTCGGCGCTCTCACAAACACCTCCCCGTTGCGGCGCGCAAAGTTCAAACTGGCGAAAATCTGGAAAATATTATTGTCAGTTGTAATGTACTGTTGCGTGGTAGAGAAACAAATACCGTCTGTCTGATGTCTTACCTGTGGCCGGCTAGTACAATCTAATGTTGTCGTACGTTTGAAACTAATTACGTTCACAAGGGAGAAATGGCTGAAAACAAAAATGACATGTTAATTTTTGTCCAGTATCCAGTAATGAAAATTACAGTACTGTTAAACAGTCATACCTATTGGCATCTGATGGGCAACTTTACTCTTAATGTTGGGATTTTTTTCTCTCCTGGATTTCCGGGTAGACCTCTCAGTCTGTAATAATAAGGGAATATCTTGAGATAGTTAGAAAGTTGTACATCAGACGAAAATATAACACATTTTTCGCTTGGTGATGTGCTTACCTAGGAGAGTTCCCCAGTCCTCCGGGCCCTCGATGGTGTTGGTGCAAGTCTCACCCTTGCACTTTGCACACCAGGGGCCGCAGACGTCTCCGCGCTTCCTGCAGGGGCACCTGACCCCACACCCCTGCGGCGAGCATTTGCAGGACAGTCTGCTCTGCAGCTCGGGTGGCACCGCTGGCTTTGTGGTGGGGATGGGCGTGAGTGTGCCGTTCTCTGCCCTCCAGCCCCACGCAGTTGGGTCCAGGTCATTCCCCAACCACTGCTGCACCTGCAGGTACACTCGGTAGCAGTGCTGTGCGGCCGCGTCGGACGTACACGGAAGAGTTGACAGGTCCGGCAGCTTAGTCTTCTCTGTCCGCTCGCGGTACAGTACTTCGCGCAGGTCATCCATGGTGTGCACCACTCACTGACCGGAGGAGACACGCTCGCTGGAATATAGAGACATCATAATCTTTTCTCCTGCCTCTGCAATGTCTCCTCGGTCCGCATGAGGGTCATTGAACAGCTCTGCCAGTCGCCGGAGGGCCTGGCTCTTCTTCAGGGTGTCCCAGAGCGTCAACTTCCCCTTCATGTGGATTGCAGAGGTGGTGTCACACCCTGACATGGCATGGCCGAACAGCACGCACTTAAGTAAGCCCTGCCTAGCGAGGTGTCGACGGATGGCTCGAATGTTGAACACCTCGTCAGCCGTGGTTTGAGTCCCGGGCTTTGTCACAGTTATGCCCGTGTCATCTGTGGCATTAGCAATCAATATGGCCACGATGTCAGTGTCACGGGCGATAACTGTGACATGCGGCTCTGTCTTGTCGTATTCTATTGCAGTCGCCGCAATCAAGTGGTCTGCGTCTGCCCGGGACTGCTTGACCTCCACGCCGGCGCCCCTCAGTTCCGTTGTGAGAAAAGAGATGAGGTTGGTCTTGTTCTGGGCGCTGGACAGGAAGCCCTCACGGCTGTAGGCAGGGCTGATGACGTCTTCGAGGTTTCCATTAAACATGGCACAGGGCTTTTTGTTTGCCGCACGGCGTTGTTGAATCTCCCACTTGGTACTCCAGCTCGAATCGTACCCGTCAAACACAACAGTGGGGTTGGTGTACTTCGAGACGAACTGGACGTACCTCTGACACAAATCTGCGTAGGTGGGCTCCTTCCCCCCGCCGTGACGGGGCCACGCCACCGCGTGCAGCAAGTGGCCCCCGTCCAGTACAGTCTTCGTGGGGAGGGAAGTCCCAGACAGTGCCTCGCCGTGCGGCTCCTCGAACAGGCTGTCGTCGGCGTCCTGCTCTCCCGGCCTGAACCTCCTCATGAGGGACGCCTTCTTGTTGTGCCTCATTAGGCCCTTGTCGAACAGCGCCGGGGGCATGGACGCCAGCTCGTATGCGAGGAATCTCTTCAGGTCGCCCGGCGCCATGTCCAATGTGACCATCTTCATGAACATGAAGTTCGTGTCGACCTCGGGTTCTTCCTTCTCCTTGCATGGCTTGGCGGGGGCGCTAAGGGGAATGACACGGCCCTTAAGCTGCAGCTTGAGGTCTTCAAAGTTCTGCCCGTATGTCTTCTCCATAAGGGCATAGTAAAAACGTGTGCATGCAATGCACACTGTAGATAACGTGTGCATGCCATGCACACTGTAAGTGTGCAATGCACACTGTAAGTGGTGAAGTAAGAATTGAGTCGGCTGGATGTCGCGCTCGCGCTCCTGCCCCGGCTGCTGGCGGTGCCTTAACGCCCCCCCCCCTCTCGTAAGGCCCGTTCCACGCCACGCCTTTGTGAGTTGACGCCTTGCTGGTGGCGATATTATTTCTCGGAAGGAAGGCGCTCCAGTAATGAAAAAGGAATTGAGAGTAAAGCGTGCTGCAGCCGAGGCGAACGCGAACGCGACTCCATTACTAACACCTCCACTTGTTTCATGCCCCCTCCTCCTCTTCCTTGTGCCCTTGATTCGAGAGGCCTTAAGCTCGCAAAGGCTACAGGGTTGTACGAAACAACGAGGACTGGCAATATTTATCAAAATTGGGAACTTTTACCTTCGGGTAGAGACAGACCACAAGAGGGAATGTCTAAAAGGTAATTGTTTTACATCAATGTGTGTGAAATAATACCGAACTGTTTTTATTACACTTTATGGGCATGTCCATAAAGTGTAATAAAAACAGTCTGGTAGCTACTTGTTCGCACTTAGTACCCGCAGGCCGAAGGACATAGGGTTGGGTACTTGCTTGGATGCAGCGGGTGCGAACAGGTTTGCCTGATCAGCCTGATCATCTCTATCCGTGGCGCCGTATAGCCCCGTGAAGGCAACCCGCCCGCACATCTGTGTGCGCGACCTGGAGTACGCATTTGCTCCAACAGGGCACAGCCAAACTCTCGCACAACTAAACGTGGTCAACGTGTGAATTGTTCCTGGAAAATTCACAGGTTTACCACCCTAAGTGTACGTATGGATATTCACTCACCTACAAATGTGCGACATGCACACACTTGCGTTTCCAGTGCACTGGTGCACACACTAAGAAAAGTCATTTGTCCTTATAACCAAAAGAGTGTTGAATCTATGAAAATTTACTCCCTGAAGCCATCTAAACATTTGATCAATCAGTTAAATCAAAATATTATCAGGCAAATATCACTGTAAATTGCTTACGAACAATAGGTTCGTAATGCAAACCAAAACGTTCGTAGCTTAACGAAGGATTTTGAAGCGTTGTATTACGAACTAAATGTTCGTAAGCTTACGAACAAATAGTTCGTAATGCAAACCGATTGTTTTTCAGACTATCTAGCCTTACAAACAATCGTTTTGCAATACGAACAATTTCTTTGCAATACCAAGAACGAAAATTGTTCGTAACGTTGCAAAGTATTTAGTTCATACCCTCATCAACATGACTAAATCATGTTATCAGGGCGATCAAAATTTGTGAAAAATTTTCTTGGCTTCCTTATCAGTTGGTTTGTTGAGTGAAAGATTCCCTTTCAGATCGAAAACGGACCAAAGACGGTCTAGTATTTTTTGAACGGTAGAGGTTTTGAAAGTCCCGATGACTTTTATGATAGATTATAACTATAGTATTTGATACGTTTTCCTTTCTGTGAATGAATAACTTTGTACCCTTTACTTCACAAGGCTCAACAATGTCCTAGACAATAGCCTAGATAATCACGGGGTTGAGTGGTGCGAGAGCATTTCGGAGCGGGCGCCCCATGGCGGCGGGCGGTAACAAGTCACTCC